TAAATACAACACACTGCTATACTGGATCAGCCCACAGTTCTAAAATAGAGTTCGAATAAATTACAGATTCTGTTCATTATCATATGTGAAGGTTTGTGAAATTTTGTTTTTAGACTCAACTTGGTTTGAGGACAGAACCTATCCAAGTGATAAAAGAGGAAAAGGGCATAAAGAATACCTACTTGTAACTTCCCTGTTCAAACAAAAAGCCATCTCAGAATTGAAAGAGCTAAGGGTTTTGTCAAAGTTAGGTCCTTGTTTTCTGTACTGGCTGGAATATGGCTTGTCCCCCCGGGGAGGATGTATGTCTGCCAAGGGCTGTAGACACACATTAATTGGTCATTCAACCACAGTATCTAATTTTATCTTTGAGACACCTATAGATGAAGGTCAGTGGTTCATGTTGCTTGCTGTGAAGATCATAGGGTGGTGAGAGCAGAGAGAGAACTTAATATGATGACCATAATTTCCATGTAATTCTTTGGAGGCCATTTATGGATCTTTTTGGCTCACCTTATATAGGGACCTATACAATTTTCCTCTTGACTTGGTCAGTGTTGTTATTGACTTATGCTTTAATATTTATAAGATCATCTGACCTGAAGTCACTTGTCATTTGTTTTAACAGTTAAGGGTAAGGAATTGAAAGTTGGATTGGAGTTCCAGTCTCAGCTCTGCCACTGTGGGATCTTAGCTCTTTACTCACTTTCAGCTTCTGTTTTGTTGTTTTTATAATGGTGGTCATTCATTCATTCATTCATTCAACAGATACTGAGTACTTTCTATGAGCCTGGCCTTTTGTTGGTACTGGGAAACAATCAACCAGCAAAACAGGCACACATCCTTCTTCTTTTGTAGCTTCCATTTGATTGGGGAAAATGGAAGAGAATAGAGGTAATGCCTGTATATTCCACCAGGTATATGCTGGATGGTGGGGGTGCTGCAACCAAAATAGAATGATGTCAGGAGTAGAGAGTGGCGAGACTGGAGTGAGTCTTCTTTTGTACATGGGGTAGGGCAGGAAAGGCTTCTGTGATGAGGTCATGTGTAAGCTGAGTCATACAAAGGGTAGGGGGACTTAAGGGAGTAGGGATCAGTGTATGACAGACATTTCACATTCTTCCAGTGTCTCTGGCAGTGGTAGAGAGTGCACAGCAGAGCAGGTGTTACAGGGTAGCCAGCTTCTAGGGCTGCTTAGAATACTTAAAATACATGCTAATTAAAAGTATAAATCCCCACAGCCAAGTGAGGTTTATTTCAGGAATGCAAGCATTCAGTAGTGTGAACTTATTTGATATTACTTATTTTATTAAATATTAATAGAAATATTTAAATATTCTATTAAATCGTAGAAAAAAGTGACCATTTGTATAGTAAAGGCATTTGATAAAATTCAATATATTATTGATATAAAGAATCCTTTGAAATATGACAGGAAAATGTTCTAGCAACTAAGTTATGGTCATCTCAACCCCAAAACAATCTCAGGTAAAAAAAAAAAAAGTTGGTACATTGCTATTAAAGTTAAACGAAAAGCGGGGGAGCCTGGGAAGTTGGCTCAGTGGTAGAGTGTTTGCCTGGCATGCATGAGGCCCTGGGTTTGATTCCTCAGCTCCACATAAGCAGAAAAAGTTGCAAGTGGCTCTGTGACTCAAGTGGTAGAGTGCTAGCCTAGAGCTGAAGAACAGCGCCCATGCCCAGAGTTCAAGCCCCTGGACTGACAAATAAAAGTTAAACAAAAAGGATATGCAGTATTTTCATTATTTATTAATGGTGTTCTGGAATCACAAGGCAATGCAACTAGACAAGAGAAAGAGAAAATTTTAAAAACATAGAAATTAGAAAAGATAAATGAATTTTTTTTCAAATATTGGGATACAGGATAAAATAAACAAGCGAATGAAGTGAGAAACTAATGATTACGATTAAGATAAATTTACAAATGTTCCTAGATGGCAGTGTGTCAATGTTCATATATACTAACAATAACAACACATTAGCAGTCTTAATTGAAGAAAAGACCATTGACAAAAAAGGATAAAATACTAAAGAACAAACTGAAGAAATATATGTACTGTATGTGATGTGAAGATATTTAGAAATTCTTCTGAGGATTACAAAAAGATAGGAGGAACTTAGAAGGACTATCAGATTCTTAGATATATACATGTCCATTATCCCTAAATGTGCATGTTTAGTGTAATAACTCTAGTTTAAAAAAGCAACAGGTAACCAAGCTAATTCTGGGTTCACTTAGGAAAAATAAATAAGCATCAATGACTAAGGCAGTTCTGAAAAGGAACTTTATATATGGAAGCTAGAATTGGTTCATATATTTATAAGTAAATATCTTCTCAGTTTGCAAGTTAATATAATGTATTAATTGAAATAAGAGAGATTTAGGGGAGAATACAAACTGTTATTCCTTGGAAAGGCAGAATCATAGTTCAAAAAAATAAATACTGGGAAACGGGTACTTGAAAAGGGTAATGTAGGGTGAAGGAGAGGAGGGTAGATGAATGAAGAGAAGTGGTGGAGAATTCAGTCACAAATTCAGTGTATAACCTACAAAGGTAAGAAAAGGGAGAAAAGGGAGGGATAAGTGAAGGCGATGAAAGGGGTGGAATTGATCAAGATGCACTGTATTCATGCTTTATAGAATGGCAACTCCTTTGTACAACTACATAAAGATAATAAACAATAGAAGAGCCTGGTAACTCTGATTACAGTCATATCATTATCATTCATGAAAACATTTTGCACAAGGCAGGGACAGAAAGTTGGGAAAAATCCATGGGACTTATTTTCAGAGCTCCTACAAATCCATAACAAAGAGTCCAACACTGCTGTAGATAAAGGGACAAAGTATGCAAGTAAGTAGTCTACTAGGGGACAATAACTATGGCTTTTAAACATGGAAAGATGCTTACCGACTCATTGTATGAGATAGTTCCTACACCTGCAACCTCCCTGAGATACCAGTCATCACAGTTAGAAGAGCAAAGAGTTAACAACTCTTGTTACCTTTTCTTGGTTGTTTTGTACCAATGCAAAATGACACAGTCTCCTTAGGTGGCAGTTTGACAAAATCTATAATATGAAAAATCCCATGTTTCTTCAGCTAGTAGTTTAAATTTATAAATTTATAAATTTATCCTAGAAAAATATGCATCCATATATTCTATGAAAGATCTTTTATATACATATTTATTGGAACTCCTTATAGTAGTGTTTACAATGGTAAAAGACTGGGAACAGCCTAAATGTTTTCCAGGATATTAGATAAAAACATGTGTCACAGCTGTACATTAGAAAGGATTCAGTCATTGAAGAGATAGATGAATATGTATCAGTGTGTAAACATTATCAGTATATGTCATTCATGAAAAATGTGAGATGCAAAGTAGTGTGTATGTTTATTCGTGGCCCAATGATTCATATAAAATGTTTCTTTAAGTGAACAGATACGTCTTTTGGAGAGGATAAGATATACCTAACCTTTACACACACACGCACACACACACACACACAATTTAGCATATGTCTTGCACTTAGCCCTCATTATATACTAGTGGTAGTTATTATTTTCATTGTAATCACAGGATTCCTTTGTCTGCTGAGTTGATTTTTAACAGTTGATGTGGAAGAGAAGCCTATTTGCCCTGTAAATACTGATTAATAATTGTCATACTTCAGTAATTTGTTAATAATGTAATATACATTGCCTGAAGTGTGTGTCTTGGTGGATCTCAGTACAAGTTCTGCACACCAATAATGTCAAGTAACACTGGAACACACAGGGATAAACAAAACTAAGCTGCTTTTTCATGAGCCTTCTTTGAGATAAGACATTTAATAAATGTGCTTTCTGAGGACTCAGGAGAATATAGTTCTTTCAAAATTGGCAATGAACTTTAGACAGGGACTACTTTTTAAGGAGAAACGTCTTATGAACAGTTGCTCCATAGTAAAATATTGCCACTTTAACACCTGGGTTTAGTTGTGTTCACCTTTATTATTCTTTTTAATAAATCAGTATTCTTGACTCATCCCTAATATATGTATGGTCTCTGCTCGTTTTCTCTCATCTGTAACCTGCTCCAACTCATTAATTTGTTCCCTAGTGGAGATTCTTCCAGAGTCATCTGAATTGCACTAGGTTTCTTGGGTATAAAAGAGAAAGAATTTTGTATTACTAACATGAAATCTCAGGAATTAATTGAATGGAAGTTGACTAAGCCTCATTTGATTCAGCTTTCCCCAAAGCTTTAAAAGGTTTGCTTGTCAGTAGGAAGAAGAAAGTCCGGGTGGGATGTTGAAACTTTATTAGCTTGTTGTTCAGATGGTGGCATCGCTGTGGGAGTTAGGAGACAAGGCTCTTATCTCTGTCCCCTTCCATTTTCCATCTGCTGGCTTTGACTAGGTCAGGCAGCCCACCTGTGCTTCAGTTTCATCTTCTGTAAAAGTCAGGCATTAGATTTCAGTGATCAGTTCAGTTCTGTCCATTTTCTGACTCCAAGGTATTATTAGCGTGTCTAATGGAGTCAGTAAAGATTGGGAGCCTGAGTAGAATATTTTGTTCTACTCTGCAAGTTTCCACATGTGAATATAATAAAAATATCACCTGCTCCAGTTCGGCCCTCAAGGAGAAGGAAATTACTCAATAATTAGCTCATAGTCAGCTTTCTGTATTTGAAAACTTGTGGAATTGTTTGACACATCTCTCATTGTTGGTTAATTATCTTCCAGGTAATCCCTAGATATGTCTCAGGTCACTGTGCTATAGACAAATCTCACCTCCTGTGTAGAGGCTGCTTCACTGGTTGCTCTGATGGAGGGAGGGACCCAGGCTGCACATGATGGTCAGATAGATCCCGTTCTCCCCCCCCCCCCCCCCCCCCCCCCCCCCCGCAGTGATCATTTGGTGATTTTTGCTGTGGCTGTGGTTTTTAAAAAATGCACTCCTATCTCTCAGCAGATTTCTTTTTTTTTTTTTGTGATGTAAAATCAAAGTACTACTTTATTAAATGAGTTATTTTACACAATATGAACATCAATATAATTACATTGTAAAAAAAATTTTTTTAACAAGGATGAACTGATTTTCAGATTTCCAAATCAGAGTCAACTGTACATTTACACAGAATTGTCTTTGCATGAAGCTCAAAAGGGAACAGCATAAAAATGAGTGTTTCTGTAGCCCCTTTATTTTTGCTGATCAACAGTTTGTTAGAAAAGCAGCTGCAGGTTTGTTACCTAAGGTCTGAGACAGTAGAAGAATCAAGGTGTCATGAATTCACCTGTAAACAACTTTATGCCTGAACATCAGCCAATTCTGGAGGAAGTGGAGTCTTAGGATGCTTGCTCTCAAAGTGCTGCTTGAAGGTCTTAGGGTCTGGCATTTGTGTCCTACAGACTGTGCAGGTGTATATTAAGGCAGCTTTGGCAGCAGCCTTTTGATCATGTCCTTGTTTCTTCTTTTGTCCAGCCTGCTCTTTGGCATTTTTCTGCTGAGACTGAATCTTCTGCTGTCCACGAGCCATATCCGGGCCGGGACAGTCCTGCGTCTGAGAGGCCGCGCAGCTCCAGAGGGCCGCGGAAGACACGGAGGGAAGGAAGCTGGAGGGCGCCCAGAAACGCTTCGGCGGCCTCCTCCACCCGCCAAGGAAGGGAAAGAGGACAGCCGGGAGCACAACAGCCCCTGCCGCGTACACCCGCCGCCGCGACCCTCTCAGCAGATTTCTAAACTTCTCACAGTTGAGGTCTAATTCAGTGAATTTATGCCATCTGGAAATGAGCTTTAAATTTTGTTCCTCTATTGAAATTAGGGCTGTGACATAGCTATTAAAAGGAATGACTGTGAGAGTGAATTTGCTTTTATTATGTGGAGGTAGAATGTTTTGTTAGAAAGAAAGCACTTGCCTGGGGAGAGATCCGAGTGTGACTGAGTTGTTAACTGTCACCATCTCCTCTTTTTAGCAGGAGACAGATTTTGTTTTTAAATGAGAGGACAACCAAGAGCATTATCAAGACCCAGTGAATTTCAGTTTACTTGATTTCCATTTACCCTTGCTTCTCATGTCATTCTGTGTATTACTGTCAAAAGATCAACTTCTTTTGAAGCCAGGAAGCAATGCTGCTGGCGGAATCCTGATGGTAAAATACAAGTGGTTCTCAGTGTATCCGTTACTGATACACAGTGGTGCCTTTTACCTAAGTAAGAGCACATATGTGTGAATGCCTAAACATGTAGAGCGCACAAGCAGAGATATGATCATAGACACTGAACTAGGGGGATGTTTTTCTCATGAATTAGGGATGCCTATTCATTATTCATGAATTGCAGAGTGAGGAAAGGCTTGAAATCACCTGGAAAGCATCTGGAGGCAATCTGTAATTTTTAAGCGGCAACAGAAGAGCCTACATCTATCCAGGACACGACAATAAAACTGTTCATGCAGGATTATGAAATAGCAGTAGAATTCTGTTACTTGCACAACATGTTGTGATTAAATGCCTAGAGGTTTGATTATGAGGTGATAACTGCCTGGTCCCACGCTGTTGATAAGCGATTAATTGATTATAGAGAACGGTGATTTGGGTATATTGAGGAAATTTTAATATGAAAAATTTGTTTATCTGCATTGAGATGTTATCCTTTTCATAGGTCACGCTTTTCATGTCATTATTGCCACTACTGAGCCCAATTTTGAAAATCAAGGTCACACTCTGCCTCTTCCCTCCTTTCTTTTTTTTTTTTTTTCCTTTCATGAGAGGTTTGTTATAATCAAAGGTATTTACTCTAAGCTTTTGGAGCCATCTGTAGGTTGAGCACAGTTGTGTGTTGAACCTCTTTTAGTGAGTTTTGGGAACCTATTTTTTTATTTTCCTCTGCTACTGGGATTTGAACTCGGGGCCTAAGGCTGGTGAGGCTGGTGCTCTACTGCTTGAGCCCCACTTCCAGTCCTACTTTTTTCTGGTTATTTTGGAGATGAAACCTAGAGAACTTTTCTGCCTTAGCTGTTATCAAAGTTGATCTCCAGATTTCAGCCTCTTGAGTAGCTAGGATAATAGCCACTAGTTTGAGGCATAGGGAGCCATCTTTTATTATGTTAGAGAACAATTATGACATCAGTGAGTAACTCACTGATTGGATCTTAATAGATAAAGCTATTGAAAAGACTCTTACTTGAACTGCTTACCATACCTTATCTAGAGAAGGGGATTATTTTACCTAATATTTATACCAGTATTACATTAAGATCATAACAGTTAATACAAAACAGCAAAGAGGGGAACACGAGTTTTACAGAGTTGCCAATAGTGTGATGCTCCTAAAATGTCCCTAGACACCAATGGCTGAAAGTTCTATTTTTTGCCTTTCATGACAGTCTACTTTGGGCCTCCTACAATCAGGCATATCTGGCACCATAAATTTCACCACATAATAAGTGCATGGTTTCCTCTATTGTTAAACAGAAAAATGTGAGTTGAAAGAGAAGCGAGCTGGCAAATTACCCTACATGTGAGAAACACAGAGAATAAAAGCTAGAAGTATCAGGATAGCAATAAAAAGCTTCCAAAATAACTAACCCCAAATGCTAAGAGGTTCAGAAGGCAAAAGCTAATGCAAATACTAAGCAAAAACATAAGAAGCCATCACTCAACATCACAACAGGTAGGAGCTACAGAAAGTTTTCAAGAAAGAACATCTTTTTGAAAGAATAATAAATGCTATGGTAATTAAGAAGTTAGAAACCAAAGCAGTCAAATAAATCTATCACAATCGCATAATTTGCTTAAGTGCAATTTTACCAGCTATTAGAAAAATTTATGAGTTTATAATATAATGGTTAAGGTCATTCTGATGTGGATTTATTTTTATTTTTTTTATTCTCTTCTGAAAGAACCATGTAATTACTTACACTTGGAAACTGGAAGAACTCTTTGTTACTTTTTGCTATTCAGCAAGGTTTTTCACTTTTGGCTCCCATTCAGATTTCTAAATAAATATTTGTTTATTTATTTTCCCTTTTTAATGATGAAGATAAATGCAATTGAGGATAACTTGCTCAATGTAAAAACAATGGTAAATGGAAGGGAAAAAATAGAGAAATGTAGATTGGGTTTTACAGGTTCTTAACAATTGTGAGACCTTTAATTTCTTACTTTCTATAGATTTTGTAAGTATTCTGGGAGTTTCTGGAAGAGACAAATGTTGGAGAAATCTTTTCCAGTCCTCTGGAGAGTGAAGTAAGCAATCACAACCCAGCAGTGGGCTACAGAAGGAACAGAGGAATTACAGGCATGTCTCCTTGCTTGTTATGGTTGATGTGGATCATGGCTATGTGTTCAGTAATTTTCAACAACAGACTTTCTGAAAGCAAACTTAATTGAACTTACAATCTAGATGAACATTATCCTGTTCCTTTACTCCATGTATTTTAAAAATATTTGTTTGTGCTGGGTGCCAATGGCTCATGCCTGTAATCCTAACTACTCAGGAGGCTGAGAGCTGAGGACTGATTGCACTTCCAGTACTTGAGGAAAATCACTAGAGTAATTGGAATAGTTTTAGACTAGTTAAACTGTTGGAGAGAGACTTCATAATAGTACTTGCGTCTTTCGGTTACTCAGAGTTCATAAAAATATAGCCATATGACCAGTGTTACAAGCACTACCTTTAGCTTCTCTGTAGTTGGGAATTCATGTGCCCAAAGAGTATCCCTGTCATTCTGCACTCAAGGCAAATCCAATTCTAATTATTCAGGGTGGAAGATAGGGACTGAACTATCTAGGACCCTGAGGACAAACGGTTTGAGGTTAGGATTTGTTCGAGGGTATTCTGTGTTATGGAGAAAGTATAGAATTATCACAATAAAACAGCTAGGGCTTTGGAACTTAGTATGCCCAGAGATACTTGCCCTCAACTAAATGGAACCTGTAGAAAGAAAAAGAATTAGCATTTTTCTATCTGTAAGATTTCAGTTAAAACGTTCACTTATTTTCTCAAAGACAAACAAGGGACAGATGCAGAGAAACTGAATTGGCTCAGCCTCGTATCAGGACACGAATATGAAGTTAATGCAGTAAAACAAATGTGTTCAGAGTAACAGTCATTGAAATTCTCTAACTGTACTGAAAACGTGAGCCAATATCAACCATGTAATGACTGCATCAAGACAGGGAAATGACCCAACTCCACACTTGCTGGTGCACACACGCTGGGCTATTTTTAGTTGTGCTAGCAGGCTGTGGACTGAAAACAAAATTGTGGGTTGTTCAGGGCATTAATAATAAATTGAGTGGCCACAAGAAAACTCTCTTTTCCTACTCAGTGGCCAGCACTGAATAATTTGGAGTTTCTAAAAATGTAAAAGTGTTTGATAATCTTCTGAGCCGTAGACCATCAGCAAACCAATTCTGTTTGCTTAAAGCTAGACTTGAAGAGATTCAGTAGTCAGACTTGAAAAGGCTCTTTTGAAAAAGTAGGACAGATTATGCTACTCAAGAGAATGATAGTCTGCCAAGACTTGGTCAGCGACTTTTATTTAAAGCTGTTTCACCACATGGTTTTCTGAGAATGCTAAGGATCAGGTCAGAGTCTAGCACATATGCATTAATAAATCATGTTCTTGGACTAGAGCAGGTGTTAACCTGTATTTTGGGGGTAGAATTCAAATGGGGTGGGAATGAAAGAAGAGAATTGACCTGGGTGGTAATTTGGTAAGAAGGGCTATTTGGTTTTTTTCATTTTTAAAAAAAGGATAGTTAATAAAATATTATGACTGCAAAGCTCTGCTGAGTTTTCTATGGCCTTTGTCTGGGAACTTTTGGCAATACATTTTTTTTAAAAAAGGACATGCATACCTTTAAAATGCTGAATTTCAGGATCCCCAGAGAGAGAGAGAGAGAGAGAGATTATATTATTTTGGAAGTGATTTAGAACTGTGGTAATATTGGGCTGGGATGTAGCTTAATGGCAGAGCGCTTGCCTAGCAAGAACGATGTCCTGGGTTTAATCTCTAGTATCTAGAAAAGACACTCCCCCAACAAAAACAACCCAAACAGTTAAACAGAAACCAAAACAGAACTGTAGTCATTATTTATAAACCAGTGTATATCCTGTGACAAAGGGCACATCTTCCATCTTTATAAATGAGAAACCAAATATGACATCCCATATTAGTTTTAAGGCAAAAAAAGAGACTTCTATGATGTTAGGTGGGAAATATGTGGGTTCAGCTGATGTTTCCTACCCAGAGTAGCAGGGCTTCAGTCAGTGGTATTTGCAACTAGATACATCTGATTATTTATGAGAGGTAAGTAGTGAGTGGGAAACTAGAAATTAAGAAAAAGTTTAAAAAGTTATAACATCTTATGTGTTTTATAACCCCAGATTATTACTTCATTTCATCTAATAGGAAGTTTATTAATGTCAATGTATTAGAATTTGAATACATTAAACTGTTAGTATGTGCCACTGGGCTTGGTTTTGATTTCCTATATGTTTTTGGAAAATAGTATTAAGTGGGCAAGAGCTATTTGTGATCTTTTATTATTATTTATTTTTTGCAGTTGGGGATTGAGCCCTGCACATGCCAGGCAGCAAATGCTCTACCACTCAACTACAAACTCAGCTCTATCATTTTTTTTAAATCTATGCTAACCTATAGTAAAGTCCCACTGCTCCTTCCTATATGAGTATAAAAATATTTT